GTCAGTGGACTGCCTGGGGACACCACACTCAATGCCACTCCAGAAACGAAATTTTCTGAGCTCCCTACCGTTAGCTTTGTGGGCTTCCTAAAATCATTTGAAATTTTGCCACATGGCCAAAGTCAGTCGACAGTCAAGTGCTAAGAAGATGTCAAGAATTTAAAATATACATATATCTATGTAACAATACCTAGATCTCTAGAACTTTTTGCTATCATCCAAATTCAGTCTCCTTCTCTACCTTTCTTTAGGAAGACCTAAAACAATATATGTCAATTTATCCTGGCAAGGCAGAGCACAGACAGGAACTCGCTTTCTGAACATGACTCCTGGGGGAATGAGGACGGTTTCAGCGTGGCAGGAGGCGTGGCGTCCAGGTGACGGCAAGCAGGGGCAGGGCAGTGCACCGACTGAGCACTGTTTAGGGAGCAGGTGGAGACAGCAGCCAGCAAAGGCCACTAAGGCAGAATGAGCTTACAGGCTGGAAACCAAGACTCTGGAAAGAAGAAGGAATAAACGCCGAGTCCATGGAATTTGGCCACTAAGAGATCACAGGCAGCTAAGCCAAAAAAGCCAGCAAAACCAACACCTACCACGTACGCAGATTTACGGTTGAAACAACAAAATACTAACCTAACCATTCTTTACAGCAGCATCTAATGGACTGTTAGGAATTCCTACTTAATCGTCACATACTCCAAAGACTCCCCAGCCTGGAAACCTGGTTACTAAAATATGTATCTATGTATCTACACTTTCATTTCACCGCTAACCCAAATTCTAGTAGTTTAATCTCGTTTCCCAGGCAAAACAGATTAGATGCAGCAAAAGTAGGGGTGGCATTTCTGGAGGCAGCATTCTGCCCAAGCCATGAAATGGCAGCTGACAGAAACAAACAGAACTCAAAAAGCCTGGAGGCCAGATGACTCAGTGAGGGCTCAGCAACTGTGTGCACTTCAGCAGGTCCTGAAGACAGTGGCGTTAGACAACAGGAGTCACTCATCAGAAACAGCAAAAGTCACCAAGAAGAGACGATATTCTGGTTAGGAAGTGCTCAATTACAGAACAATCTTGGGGACTGACTCCTAAAGGGATATAAGCACGTTCCACGGAGGGTTCACTTACCTAGAACGGGTGTCGGATAAATGATAATACGCTCTTCCAACCAATTTTATGTTTCAATACACTTTAAGTACACATGTACACCCTTAAGTACACATTTACCACCTTAAAAACAAACAATGAGGCAATCATTTAGTCTTGCCTAGCAATATAGCTAAGCTGTTATTTTAATGACTCACACAACTGCTAAGCTTCTCTCCTTCCAAGAGAGCTAAAGAAATCAACAGCTACTTCAGAAGTGCACTTTTAGTATTTTCCAGAACCAAGACAGAAATTTGAGATGCTTCGCTTACAGCTCCCAGTTCCCCCAAAAGATCCCCAAAACTGATTCTTTGATGGATTTTATGCTCCAGAAAAGTAACTTTCAACAGAGCTCATGTGTGAATGACACCTCTATGTTCATTTCCGGTTCCTTTCTCAATCAGGTTCCTGAAATTAGGTGTCCCTCAAAGGGAGCTATTAATTTTTATGAGGATTTACGGAGGATTTTAGTTGTAGTTATACTAAAATTTCCCACTGAAACATACTCATAACATGAAAGTGAAATTATTTATGGATCCTTAAAATACAAATCACTCTTTTTTCAAACTCATTTCATTTTACCTTCAAACTTGCCTCCAAAATCCTATGGACTACCAAATTGTAGCATTTTTTTGAGTAAATAAGCAAGCATCTTCAGCTGTTCTAATTATTAAGAAGATATTTTGGAGGCCAGGTGCAGTGACTGACGCCTGTAATCCCAGCAATTTGAGAGGCTGAGGCAGGTGGATCACGAGATCAGGAGTTTGAGACAAACCCTGTCTCCATTAAAAATACAAAAGTCGGCTAGGCATGGTGGCAAACGCCTGTAATCCCAGCTAACAGGAGGCTGAGGCAGGAGAATCACTTGAATCCGGGAGGCACAGGTTGCAGTGAGCTGAGATCGCACCTGGGCGACACAGTGAGACTCCATCTCAAAAAAAAAAAAAAAAAAAAAAAAAAAAAAAAAAAAAAAAAAAAAAAAAAAAAAAAAAAAAAAAGAAAGACTTTTAATACCTGTAATGCGGTGCAGTTTTTTGGGTTTTTTTTAAGACTGAGTTTTGCTTTTGTCACCCAGGCTGGAAGGCAGTGGTGTGATCTTAGCTCACCGCAACCTCCGCCTCCCCGGTTCAAGCCATTCTCCTGCCTTAGCTTTCCGAGTAGCTGAAATTATAGGCATCCACCGCCACACTCAGCTAATTTTTGTATTTTTAGTAAAGTCTGGGTTTCACCATGTTAGTCAGGCGGTCTTTAACTCCTGACCTCAGCTGATCTGCCTGCCTCAGCCTCCCAAAGTGCTGGGATTACTTTTTAAATAATGAATTCTTAGAATTTCTGTATCTTGAGCTATTGATACATATAACAATGCGGATGTATCTCAAGGCTAAGTGAAAAAAATCTCAATTTCATTGAGAAGACACACAGCTGTAGACTGACACTCACTAGTGCGTATACAGTTGGTGCAATCTCAGCAGGTCAGGGGATCTGATCAATGAAAATTTCCTGCATATACTATGGTTTTGCAAGGTGCTACCATTGGAGAAAACATGGCAAGGCACTCTAGGATTTCTTTATATTACTCCTTACAACTACATGTGAATCTGCAACATCTCAAAAGGATGGGTGCGGTGGTTCATGCCACTGCTGTATTATGACACAATTATCTATATTCCCAGCACTTTGGGAGGCTGAGGTGGGCGAACTGCCTGAGGCCGGGAGTTGTAGACCAGCCTGGGCAACAAAGCAAGACCCTGTCTCTATTAAAAATGAAAAACTTAGTGCGGCGTAGTAGCCCCTGTGGCCCCAGCTCCTGAGGCAGCTGAGGCGGGAGAATCTCTTGAGCCTTGGCTGGGCACTCCAGCCTGGGGCGTCAGCAAGACTCTGTCTCAACAACAAAAAAGCTTCAGTGTGTATATATATATATATATATATATATATATATATTTTTTTTTTTTTT